CAAAGCCCAGCATTTGGCATTGGAGCTCCTGCTGAGGGGGGGGGTTGTCTTTTTTTTCAGGGTGCAAATTTTCTTGTGGTAAAGGGACACCAAAAGCCATCATATTTGCAGGGGTCCCCCTAAAATAGACGGTCCAGATGTAAATCCGCCAGGGTCAAGAGAGACTTTGGCCACCCGGGACCTGGGTCGCCCGAGCCGAATGTCGAATAGGCCCTGGAGACTTCCAGGCGCGGATCGGTCGAGTTTTCTGGTCTGGTCTGAAAGAGAGTATCCACATGGGGGGGAAGGGGGGGGCGTTCTGAAAATAGGGGTCCTTTAAGAATGGTGGTTATTTTCCTGGTTTCCGTTCTGGAATACCAACCAACAGGGGGTGCAAAATGGTATGTGGGTGTGTGGGTATGTGGATATGTGGATATGCTTTGGATTGGGGACCCTTTGGAGGGGAACTGTTAGGTGGCGATGTGTGTCTACCGACCCTTTCGAGGGGCTCCCGACTTTATCACAGCCATGTGGCTGTGTCGTTTGTTGTCTTTGGCGGTAAGGCCCTTGTTGTGGTTGTGTCAAAGCGAAACCAAAAGGAAGCCAGGCATTTCAATGGGGTTCCTTCTTGGAGACGACAGACAAATCCACAAACACCTCGCTTGGTGATGGTGTCGTTCTTTGGGCCAAGACATGTTCTTCCTGGTCCGAAACAAACACGTAGGCTAGCCGGCCATCTTTAACCGGTCGTGGCCTGGCCTTTGAGCGGCTGCAACCCCAAGCCTGCTATTTGACCTCCATTTTGCCTCGTTTACGGGCAAACAAAAACACGGCTGGGTCGGAAAAGCTGTGTGGGCCGCGGCCACCCAAAGTTCACATGAACCAGGCGGATGCGAATTCGAGCGGCGCCTTTTGTGAACGTACTTTTTTTCAGGATGGCCACGTAGAACTCATGGAGATGGAGGAAATGGTGACCTTTGCAGAACCCCTGGTTCAAGTCTGCCTTGATGGAAAGGAACATCGGGTTACCGGGGGAACCAAGCTCTGTGTCTGAGTTTGCGAGGGCCAAGTTCAACTTTTGCTGACCGGACCACCGGCCTTGGTTTTCCTGGCGATTTACAAGACTGGCGCTGTTTATTTTCTGAGTATGGGGCAAGCGAGTCAAGCATCCATTCTATGGTACTTGTAACTTGTAGAAAGCTTTCTTGCCTGCAAGCACGTGCCCGAATGGGGGGCGCATCAACTACTCCGGCATGATGCAGTGTTGTTCAGATATGATCCACCCTATGATACCACTCTGGGTATCTACGTCCTTGAAACGCTCTCAGAACCAGAAACAAGGAATCCCGTAGCTATTTGTTGATCTTTTGCTTGTCAAAGCATTTTAGTCGGATGGGTCATGTTCTGCACTAGTTGGTAGGTGGCTTATCCCTTTTTTACGTTTCATTCGTGCGTTTTGTTCATCCACAGCTTTTGGAAACGAAAAGCACGAATGGGTATGTGTCAAAGTAGATTTGCCCCCCCCCCCCCCGGATCTGTTCACCGCTCTACTCAGGGTTTAAGCAATTCTGCGGAAGGAATCCTACCGCATCTCAAGGCATTTATCGTTCACACAGACGAGCTTTCCCAAGTTTTGTTTTGGGTGCAAGACTGTGGTGCTTCGCACGTGTTGCCTCATCGGCTCGGTTACCAGGCCCCCAACCAACTCCGGGTTTTTCGGGGTTTTGTCCCATTTCCGGAGCGTCAAACTGCGGGGGCCTGGGGGGTCTTCCCCCTCTGACAGACATCCGCCGCGGCTCCGCTTCCTTCCCGGCCCGGTTTTCAGGCGCATCCGGTGTCCTACCGCGGCACCTTTCTGGGAGAGCCGGGGGGCCCAGTGGAGATGAGTGACTGCATAACCAGAACCTCCGAAATGCCTTGCTTTACCTTTGGATTCGCCGGCAGGACAACTTACTTTGTTGCACCCGGATGCTGGGATTTCCTCCAGGATGTATACGTTTGCCTGAAAGTGAGCGGACACCCCAAATTGGTTAGTTTGCTGCTGATTTCCCTTTCACAACGACTTCTCCCAAAAAGACACTCAAATATGCATGTACATATGCACACATGCGAAAAACAGCCCTTAAACGGCTGACTGTTGATGGGGGCACGATATGACACGGACAACATTCCCAGGGTGCAAAAAGGCCACAACTCCCCTCGATTTGTAAGTGGAATACGTTTCAAACATGCCTACAGTGATCATCCGAGAGGCATCCCCTGGATCGCCAGTTGCTGCTTTTTTCCATGCACTTTACCCCAAAAACCAGCAACAGTGACTCAAAAAAGCCGCAACTTGGCTGTCTAGGCCGTTTGAGTTGACGATCCCAGGAACCATCCGCAGCCTTCTGGGTATCTCCAAGCGGAAAGGGGAGCCAACTAGGGGGAGACTAGATGATGTGCGTGTTTCTCAACATGGCGGACCTCCTTTTGCTCTGTATATGAAGGGAGATCTTAAATGAAACCAACCATTTCAGGGCGCCATTTCATTCCCTGATTTTATGATCTTTTATTGACACTCTGGAGCATTGGGTTTACGTACAGCTGTTGCTTTTGGGTCAGTTTGGGCACCGCCTTTTGGCCAGTTCAAAGTGAGTGGAGTTTCCTTCCGGGTCGAAGCTCCGGGCCCCAGGTTCAGGACCTTTCCAAATGGGGATCGCCCGGAGCGGACTTTCGGAGTGGACTTGCGAACCATGCCCGGAACAAAGGGAGGGCTCAGAGCGGGAGATCCCTCCCTCATTTTTTTAATTTTGAGTGGGTTTCTTCTGGTTTCCCTTAAGCAGGGTTTCCCCAAAAGGCCGCATTCCCAGGTCCTTGGGAGAAGGCGTCCTGACCAAAGCCCCCGAGGTGTGTGGGTCCGGGTAGGAAGTTGATCAAAGGGTCCTACGTGAGGATATCCGGGAAGCTCGAACATCGTGAACAAGACGACTTTCCCATTTGGGGTCCAGTTGCCCGTGGTTAGTTGGGGTGCAGTTGCCCATGGTTAGTTGGGCTCCAGTTGCCCATGGTTATTTGGGGTCCAGTTAGCCATGCTTATTTGGGGTCCAGGAATACTCCGAGAATTGCTTCATTTGTTCCAATCCAAAAAGCCAGATCCATGAGGCCCTTTGTATCAGAGGCACAACTTGCCCCGAAGGGCGACCTGTGCTTCAAACTGTTGGCCCATGCCACATTTGTTTTCTTCAAAAAGGGAGCCTCCGCCCCGAAATGGTTTCCCATTGGTTTCCATTTTAGCGCAAAGAAAGGCCGAATTGACAAGAGAGATGACACTGTCGTATAGGTCTCCCCAAGGCCAGGGTTGAGCATAGGGATCCACTGGTTCCTGTTTCCCTCTCTTACCCGTGGAATCCACCAATTTCAACAGCTTGCCTAGGTTTGCGAAAACAAATGCACATATCACTCCTTGCCACCTCCAAACGTGGCCCCATTCGGGTTTTGGGTCGAGTTTAACCCTGAAGGGGTCAAAAAGCCCTTTGTGGCTGACTTCGGTGGATGCCCCAAGCGAAATGCGAGCAAAACAACCACTCTCAACCCCCAAACCCTGTCCCCTACTCGCAACATTTGTATAGGGAATGCCACCGTTGTTGTGTGTAAATGTAGGATGCAAGATGGTGCATCTTCCCTGTAAGGGGGGATGACGAGCTCATCGGGGCAATTTACTTGGGTTTACAGTATGCGCCAAACATAAAAGGCGGCCCCCCCACCGTCAAAAAAAAAGAAACACCACAATATTTCATTCCCAGAAAGGGATCCCCAATTACCTGAAACCCAACTGTTCATCTACGACTCACGATTCTGAGTGCGATGTCAACTGCCCAAACTGCTTTCAGGAGTGAACTTTCTCAGAGCCTTCGACTCTAGCACCGAGCGTCTGTGAAAAACCCTTTGCCCTTCGGTTTCTTACTCAAGCTCCTACGGTAACTCGGGCTCACGTGTTTCCCCGGTTTTAAGAGTGGGTGAGTTCAAAGGGCCTCTTGGAAGTTGCCAATGGATTCGCCGCTCGGGTGAGGGCCCGGAGTTTCCAATTTTCGACGTCCAGTTGACCTTGTCGTTTACGGGCCCGAAAACAGAGTGGGGTTGCAAAAACCGGATCCCCGGGATCAGTTGCTGCTCTTTCCCTTAGACGGTCGATTCAAGCACAAAGCCCAAGCGATCTCAAAATACGTGCATGTGTATCGCAAAATGTGGCGCCCCCCCCCTCTTCCGGCCTGAAAAGCACAATTTGGCTTGATATTGGTGACCTACTCAAGAATCCTGCCCCTTCAATTTTTAGGAACGGAATCTCCTTTGGGGAAATGGACCGCTCCGTGTTTGCAGACGATGTGCGCGAGATGTGCTTTTTCCGGACGCAGCTGTCAATGCTCTCAATGTAGCTGCCCGCAATCTCTGTGTTGATCAGCTAATCGCCATCCAAGCATCTAGCAAAGGGCGGCAACTGATCAACACAGAACCATTGCATGTTGGCGCAGCACCCGCAATCCTGAGGCTGGGTTGGGGCGACTTGGGCGACTGCGGCGTTTCCACGTTGAAGCAAGGGACACGGCCGGACCACTTTTTTTGGGGATTCCCAGTACATTTTGAGGGGACAGGGGTGCGACTGTGAGGGGGGGCTTTGGATTCCGCCATGTGCTTGGAGCATTCAATTTTGCTCCTCGCCTGAAACAATGATCGGGACAGACAATAGGAATTGGGTCCCTTGGGTTTTCCTTTCAGCCAAATTTCTACATCGTGTCTAGCCCAATCAGGTCTTTCAAGCGTAAGGGTGAGCGGTGGATCTGTCTCCAGAGATCGATTTTCCTTTCTTTCTTTGGCTTCGGCTTCACAAGTTGAAACCCCCTGAGACCCGCCCGCGGTTATTTCCAGGGGGCATTTCTTCCTTTGGCTTCACAAGTTGAAACTTCAAAAGGCGCGGGCGAGGGACCTCCGATCGAAGTTTTCGTCGAGTCGGGCTCGAGTCGGGATGGAGTCGAGCCGAATGAGGCATGGGTTGCGGGGCCAGCGTGGTGGCTGAGCCCAAGGCCTTTCTCGCTCGGCAGTTTTCGGTGCGGGTTGCGGGTTTTCGGGGTTCGGCGGGCAGGGCTGTGCCCGTTTGGAGGGAACCACTTCAAGGTCCCTAAGAGATGGCCACGGCTAGGCTCTCTTTTTATGTCATTTTTGGCGTGAAGGTTCACTCATGTAAGCAAGGACGTCTCATTTTGGGGGGGTTCCTGGTTCCTTTTCGAGTTTCGGTACCCCAAAGGGAAACGGAAGGGAAGAAGTACTTGCTTTGTTCTTTTTCTTTCTTTTTTTTGGGGGGGGGGGCACTTTTTTGAGATGTGATCATTGTACCCGAGAAGGGTGGTAGGCATTCCAGCACCCTGAAGCACCCGGTTGGGCTGGGCAAAAGTGTTGGTTGGTCTAAAAGGGAAACTGAAAAGGACGCTACCTTTTCCTTGGGTACCCCTATTTTGACACATAGCCCGGCTTGAGCTAGATTCTTTGCACATTGGCTGGCATTGCAATGGTGAGCAGGCACTGAGCTAACATGGAACCTGAAACAGATCCAGATGCAACCCCTTTTTGGGGTTGGAAGAGTTTTTTTTTTTGTTTTAAGGTTCATAGCCATCCCCGAGACATTGATCCCCTACACTCAGACTCGGTTTGGCGAAGGGCGGCCAACTTGGGAGCTCACAAAGGAGCAGTTGGGAGCAAGCTTCCGGAGATTCACTTGATGGGTCCAACAGGTTTGCCCTTATGTGTTGTTTGTTTTTTTGTGCCCTTGAACATCGGCGACCCACTTTTTCCATGTGAAAGCCACATGGGACCTTGGGCAATGTGGACTTATGCTTTCGAGTTTTTCCGCCTGTTTGCCTGTTTGTTCACCTCAGTGGGGGTCAGCGGGGGGGGGGGGGTGCAAAGAGTACGTATTTTCTCTGACAGTTTTCTCTCGCTCCCCGAAAGCAACCCGAGTGCAACCCAAGAGAGAAGCTGTTTTTCGTCCAGTCACTTGGACAGTTTTTGGTGCCCTTTTTGCCAATCATTGCAGTGATTAAACTCACGGGGGCGGCCCTTGACTCTTGACACCAGCTCAATTTTGTGGGTTGAGTTGGGACTTTCCCAAGAAATCGTGGGAGAAAGCTGTCGATGCTTCACATATTGATCTTCTCCTTGGTTGGACCTTTCGCAATTCTCCCATCCAAGAATGGAAGCACGGAGTCGAAGACCGACCTAGCTAAATGGACACCAAACATAGAGATCAACCCTTCGAGTGTTCGAGCAACCCATATTTTTCCATTCGCGTTTTGTTTTTGTTTCACTCAAAGGAGTTTGACCACTGGCCTCCACTAACCCTCCACCCATGTTATCCGTGGTTGCCTGCCTTCGCCCCTGGGACCTGGCGCTCAATGAAAGGATTGCGCCAGGTAGTTCTCAGCTTGCCCTTTCACTTGCTCGATTCAATCAAAGCGTCAAGCACCAAGCGGCAGTTTTTGACACGGACAGCTGCGGGCTTCGGGGGTCAGGCCTGAACCTCTTTTCGAGACCAGCAGCTACTTGCGGCCTAGATATGGCACAAAGCACAAAAGAAACAAGGAGTGCAACACTGGACAAGGAGGCCTTGAGCACCTCTTCACCACCGGAGCCTTGAGCCCCTGGAGATGATAGAATAAGACATACCCATGCCCTCAAAATGGATTCGGCATTTCTTTTCGTGTCCCTTTCAAACCCATCAAAAAGGGGGGGTACCCTCAAATTCACAACGAGGCAGGCGAGGTTGTCGGCGGGTTCCTGTCTCTACGTTGGTATCAGAAGTTGGTGGTTTTCCACATCCATGGTCCCCCGGTTGGGCAAATTCCTGCAAAAAGGAAATTCTTGAAAATCCAGGCAACGAAGAGCGCCACACCCCCGATCTCTTAGGTCCTTCCAAAGTACTCAGATTTATTCTTTGTTTTTGTTTGGCTCAAATAGTTGCAACTGCTGCCATTTCCCTGCCCAGATTGATTATTTGTGGCTTTTGCATTCCAACTTCTGCCATTTCCCAACCTCAGTTGCGCATTGCTCCAACTGATTCTTGGGAAGCCGTCCCAGGCTGCCAGTCTACGCACCGGCCCTTGGATTCCCTTCCTCCCTTTCGGTTTTCGTAGAAAAGGACCTGGTGTTTCCAACCCCGCGCCAGGGGGTTCTTGGACCTCCACTTTACCTCTTGTTTATGGAGCCCCAAAAAAGTCGATCTGCTCGGTTGGTGGAAAATTCGCATGCCGGAGCAGCCTTACCAGGGGGGCCTGCCGCTGCCATGCTGCCACATTGACGACATGGGCAAGGTCTTAGCGCAAGGCGCGCACCGTAGTTTTTTCGGCCACCGCGTCACTGGGGAGCCCCATGTGTTTTGCTCGTTACTTGCTTACAATGTAAAAGCTTCACTAAATCAAAGCCTGATTTTTGGGTATATTTGGTTGGAGTGCTATGGAGATTCTCGCTGTCTTGGATCTCTGATAGTATTGGTCTCTTTGGGGCTTGGGCAATTTTCCAACAAGGGTCCTTGGACAAATGGTTCAAGCAAAGCTGGAGATTTAGACTGCATAGCAAATGAGCCGCAGCATATGGGTGTGCCTTGCTTTGAGGGTACCCTTTTCGGGGCCGTTTTCAAGGAAACCAAAAGGACACCACCCGTTTTGGGGGGTCCCCTACTTGGCGACAGACCCTTTTTATTGCTTATGACTCACTAGGGCTGAGGGTTCACATGTGGTCGGAAGCGGCATTTGCCATGATGGGTGCCGGGCATTCACAGCTGAGTATGTGCCAAACACAGGGGACTGTTGTGAAAGCGAGGCCAACGAACTTGCGACTCTTGTTTCGCACAGACCGATTTGACCCATGAAGCTCTTTGTGAAGGGCTTCCAAATTCCAGGTTTATGAATCGTTCAGATGGCGCGAACTGCGTCTCGAGAGGGATGGGACGATCAAAGACAAATGTCAGGCTCTAGGAACCCATCGCCGCCCCCAAACCATGGTCATTCCCCCCCCCTTCCCGGTGGAGTGTTGTGGGTGGGGTTGGTTAAGGGTTGGTGTAGGGCTGGTTGAGGGTTGTTGCGTTGCATAGTGTTTAGGCTAGGTCTGGAGCTGGGGATGTCGGGGAGTTCCTGGGGGGGGGGCGAACCTGGGACTGGGAACATATTGTGGCATGCGAATTGTCTACGGATTCCAAGGGTTGGAACTTCCTCAAAAGAGTTGGACATAAAATCCCATTCTGATGTCCAGAAGGTACCCAGTTAAACCTCACATCTAATTGAGGAACGAGCCATGCCAAAGCATGGAGATTCACTTGACTTCAAGCCTGCGTTCCAGGTGCTTCGCAGGAAAGCCTGGATTGGACCGAGGCCGGCGCACACACACGCGACAGCTCATGACAGCTGATACTGTGGACGGATAAAAGCCTGCACCAGTTGTAATTCTATGAATGCCTGGATAAACCGCCCACCAGCTGGTGCAGGCTTTTGTCAATCCATAGCCGGTCAGATCCTGTCTTTTTTGCAAGGACCAGTTAGGTGATGGATGTTACATGCAAATCGCCATGACTTTGGTTCGTTTGTCGTCAAACTTCTCTACGAAGCAAAAGGTGAGCCCGGAAAGCCATCAGAGGAATGTGCGTTCGGGAAATGGACGCCGTTTGGGGTTCCAGGGATTTTTCATGCGAGTGCCCTCCTTTTCTGGGAAGGGCGCCGGCGCAAGACATTTGGCAATCAACGCGGAAGTTGACGGGCGGGATCTCATGCGGATTTGCAAGTGATTCGAGCAGTCTATTCGGTTCTGACCAGGGTACGGTACTCCGCGACCCATGGGTTTGCGGGGCCGTCTTTGAGCGGGGCCGAAGGCTTTGACCCGAGACCGTTTTGTTGCTTTAACGTCTTTTTTGCAAAAGGTGAAGGATCGATCCCTCTCGTTCCCCAACAGCTGAAAGCTTTAGGGTCTCAATCCAGATAGGCTCCGGGGTGGTCCGGGGCGGCCCTGAGGTAAGGCGTTCCACGAGGGGTCCACGAGGTTCTGCGAGGGCTGCGGGCACTAAAAAGAGCACCGCATGCTGTTGGGGATATCACCTGAGCTTATGTCTCTCAAGTCACTTCCCTAGACATCGAAAATATATTTTTTAGATTCCCAGGCAGGAATCCCTGCATATACGCATGCGTATCCCAAAAAAACGATTTTCACAATATCTATTTAAAAATAGATTCCCACAAGCAAACATGTAAACAAAATAGATTCCGTATCTATTTTGGCATCGTATCTTTAACAACAGCTCGTATTCAAAAAATCGTATCTATTTTGCGTATCTATTTGTATCTAACCGTATCTATTTTCAGCACCGCGTATCTAAACTGCTTCAGAATGTGAGGAGTTGATCTTGCCTTCCAGGAAATGGTTGCTGAAGGATGTATTTGCAGGCGGCGTCAGCGCTGTTCGAAATCGCGTCAGCTTTGACAAGCTGTGGCCATTGCAGCTGTGACAGAGTTGGTCTGGCCATGATGACACAACAAATTCTGATAAGGCTTCCAGGAAGTGGCTCAACCCAAGAAGCAGTCACAGACCCGAACACACTAGCAAGTCAACATCCCCGCCCTCATTTTGAACTACATCCATTTGTTTATTTACAGTGTCAAAGTTTCTGCAAGGAAAGAAGATCAGAACCCCCAGCTCCAGCACTTTTAGTTTCATTATTTTCATCACTTTCCGCAGCAAGTTCTGCGATCCGGAGTGCCTCGCGCTTTTGGGGTGTACTCCGACGAGGCCGAAAACAAGCAAGTAAAGGGCTTGTGGTCAGTTGTGTCTAAAGGACACTCAATGCATTTGCAAGTTATGTGTGCTGGAGCGCAACGTGTAAAAATCGCCCAGGAGCTTTGTGCGAGACCGACTTTTGATGGGGACCTGGTTGAAGAGGCGCGTCTACGACAACTACCGTTACCCACCCGTAAGCCGGCATAGGTGCAAACTTTGAAAAGTGCGAGCAACTATACTTTGGATGCCTTCCTACGCAAGGCAAGTGAATGCTGATTGCCAACGCAACAAGGCGAGGTGGCTACCTAACTTACTTGGTGACTCAAAACTGAAAACCGTAAGTATAAGCCACTGAGCTATGTCGACTTTTACCTATCATTTGGCTCATGAGCCAGTTTGGTTGGTCATCTAGCCAATCTGCAAACTAGTCAATCAGTTCGCTCATGTTTGAAGGTCGGCCCTGCGGAAGTTCGCAGAGGGTTCAGCCTTTGATGGTTGCGAAGCAACGCGTGCGGGGTGTCACTGGACCGTTGCCGAAACTGCTCTGAGACCGCTCCGTCGCCGCTTCTGTCAAGCAAATGTCTACGCGCAAGGCCATGTTTTTCCCGCTTGCGTTACCCAGTCCTTTGCCAGCTTTGTCCTTGGACAATATCGACCATGCGGAAGTTTTTTGAGCTTCATTTGAATATTTGTTGCCTGCCGTATCTATTTCCCGTATCTATGAATATCTACAATTATAGCTGGGCGTATCCATTTTCTTGAAATATCTAAAAAACGTCGTATCTATTTTTAATGAAAATGTATTGCGCACGTATCTAGTGGTATCTATTGTGCGACTGCCCGTATCTATCCGCATCTTTCCGTATCCATTCTTGCAAAGCAGGGACGTATCTAAGTATCTATTCTGCTGGCGCTGAGGTAAATTGCGTTTTTTTTTGGCTCCGTTTCGGCTGAAAAATACATAGTATCTATTTTTCAATCAAGCGGCAAATGCCACAGTAAAAATAGATTCCCGCCCTTGATCTCTAGGGTTGGCAAACAGCCCTCCAAGCCCGAGAAGATTTCACTCAAAAACCACCCGGGATGGGACTCGCCAAGCTTTCTGTTTTGTGAGGCGAAACGATTTTAGAAGTTGTTTTTCGTGGACACGACATTCCCAATTTGGATTTTGGGGTCCAATTTGGACTGAAATACGCACAATCTTTCTGATTTGACAGACAATTCAATCTCCAGCGCATGTTGAGCAGACGGTGAGGGTGATGCTGGCATATGCGGAAGCCTGGGTTCGAGAACAACACGCACGCCGTAAGTTGCAGGCATGAAGCACAAGCGCATTGTGGTTTGATAGAGTTGGCCCCCACACTGAGCTTCGAGCAATTTGCTGGCGGGTTCGATGCGACCAACACGGAATCCCGGAATCGCCCGAAGTTCGGCATCCAGGAGTTTGCGCACGCTCTTTTGGTCACTCGCACGTCCTTCAAGGAGATGCTGGAGCAAAAGCTTCTCGGAGAAGGCTTTGCTGGACTCCTGGCGCAGATTGACGAGCACTCACAGGCGCTTGAGGCTCTCGATGGGGCAAGCGGCCGCAGCGCCTCGCGAGCATTGAGGTGGCCGCGGAGGAGGTCCTGACGTGGCTGGCACGCATGGCCAAGTCTGCCCGGTGGCGGGCATTGCTCATGGCGCTGATGCGCCTGGGCGAGAGCTGCCTGCATGCGGAATGGACCTCCGCTGCGGCGGACGTCCCGGCATACCACCAGAGCATCGGAAATAAAGACAGCCAGCCCGAGGTCCACTTGTACCAGAACGCCTCCAGCATTGCCGTTAGCCCCAACCTCCGCTGCGCCGCAGCAAGCCACAACGTCAGGGGCGCCGGTGTTCGGAGAGCTTTCCGACGCAGAGGAGGCGGCGGAGCCAGACGAGCCAGGCAGCGCTAGAGACACGGTGCCAAAGGCGCGCAAGCAGAAGCAGGCCTCCGTCAACCTCGAGTCGCCCCGAGACGACGTCGACGAGGGGGCTGCAAAGAAAAAAGGCAGGAAGCAGCGCGAGGAAGAGGAACCGGAGGAGGAGCAGCCGAAAAAGAAGGCGCGCAAGAGCGCTGCGGAGGATGCGCCGGACAAGGAGAGCAAGCAGGCCAAGCAGGCAAAGAAGAAACAGCAGTGATGCCTGTTTTTCGTGTAGAAGCCAAGTTTATTTGATCGACTCCGACCATGCCAGTGACTCTGGAACGCTGCTCATTTATTGGACGTAGATAAACCGCCCCCAAACCCCCAGACCGCTTTTTGTTTGAAGTCGGCGGATATGGACGTGGCCCTGGGGTGGAAAGACAGGGGTCTGAACCAAACCCATTCAACCCACATGGCAGCCTCTCAAGGGCTTGTGAATAGCTTGGTGAGGGCGTGTCTTGGAAGCTCGGCACCCTTAGTCGTTGTAGAGGGCAACCAAAGGGAAAAGGGCGGGGCTCAAAAGAAAGCTCGCCGCCAGTTTGGCACTTTGTGGGCCGACCAGCGTGCAAACAAAAGACATGTGTGGATTTTCATGGCACCTGACACGGAAACGGTTCCTTCAAAAGGTCCTACCCTCCCACAGCTGCAACGTTTGTGGGAACAAGCGTGCCCAGTTTGGAAGAATGCAACACATCTGAAGTTGTTACACTTGGCCCTTTGGCGAACAAGAGCTTTGGACGGTTATTGGCCTTCACCATTGACGATGTCTCCGGCCAGGGAAGCATAAATCATTCGAGGTCCACAAAAAGCACCATGGCAGACAGCCCCGCGGTGACCCCAGACCTGCGACGCGGGCAAAAAGAAACCTCGACAACATGTGCTTAGTGCTCCCAAAGGGGAAGTTCCCTGGGCTTTCCGAGGATTTCTCTTACCCTCTTCCGATGGATTTTGTTGCTGTTTCTCTTTCAACCAAGCCCCAGGAAACCAACTCTGGACAAGAAAGCACCCCCCCAAAAAGGGCAAAGCGTAAGTCATCCAAAAAGGACACGCCCGGCCCAGACCCTGACGCCAACCAAAACTCCCTGATGGTTGCAAAATCCTTGCAAAACGCCACCAGTGGTTTATGGGTTTGTGTCAAAACAGCCGTCCTCCTGCAAATGAGGGCAGGCATCGCGGCATGCACTTGGATGCAACCGATATGAGCAAGGGTAAGTATTCACCATGAACTACAGTAGTCAACAGAGTGACATTGGGGACGCTCACCAAACTGCCGCCAGGAAATTGAGATTGCTCACCAAAATTCAACGTCATTGGGGCACACAATAGCTCATACAAGTGAATTGCATGTTTGTATCATTTCTGAGTGAATCAATTTGGACTGATTGTTTCACATGTTGCGGGGCTTCCCGATTTCTTGACGTACTTCCATCAAGGGGCATGTGTTGACCCGTCCAGCTCCGCTGTGGCTGTGCTTCGCCCCGCAAAAAAACAAACAAACACAAAACCTATTTTTATTTTATTTTTTAAGGGGGAAAAACAGAGATATTCCCGTGGAGACCGTGTTCGCCATACCTTGGAAGCTCTGGGACTGACGAGCCCCCAGTTGATACCAGGCACGTTCTGGTCGCCAACAGAGAAGGGGGGGGGAGAAGGCGCAGTGCAGTTCGGGGTGCCCTAATACTTCACCAAATTTTTGTCCAGACAATTGCTTCACATCTGGGTTCCACCTTCCACGCCTCAAGTGAACACCTCCACCTTGCCTCCATGTACAACTGGGATCATGTCGCATTTCGGACGCTGTATGGGAGCCAACCATCATGGCCCATAAATACTTCCCATGGTTCCCGCAACGGCAAATGGGTTTACATGTAGAACCATCCCCGAGAAGGGAACCTTTGGCCACACAAAAGTCACCTCCAAAAGGGAAACTTAGAGGCAACTATGAGAAATGATTCCTGCAACAAACCCATAGGAAACCATGGAGAGACCATGGGACAAACCCCAGAAACCATGGGCAACTCGGGCCCTCCGTCAGCTCGGGACGAGCGAGGCCATTGACGGCAGTATCTTCGCGAGCGCGCGGCGCTGAGAAGCAGCCGGCCAGGTGACATGTGCAGGGCCTAATTGGGCGAGACCTCAAAATTGGGGGCCTCACAGTTTCCTCTTTATTGCCCTTTAAAGCAACGCAAGGTTAGCCTCAGGACTTTAGTGACTTTTGAGAAGAGCACGTTAGTGGCAAACGAACAAGACTGGACATTTGTGGCCAACCCAATCAGGAAGTGAGACTGGTGATCAGTAGGCTCCCTAAATGATGAGAGGGGGGGGGGGTTGTGGACAAGCAAGGCATGACAATGTCCGATTGCTCTCCCTTGACTTGCTGCCCAGTACAGGATTTCCTTGGTGTCTTGGGAATAATTTACCGCTTGGGTTCCAAGTGGTGCCCTTTTCCCGTTCAGTAGGTGCCGGGGGTGGCGGACTTCGAAGCCACATCAAGTCATGCTCACGCTGTGTGCCTAGTTGGCCCTGAACCAAAGGATCTACTGGCAGGAAGCCACAAGATCTTCGGTCATTTCTTCCTTCCCTACACCCTAAAATTGATATAATTTCCCGAAAGGCAACCGCCCCTGATTTGTTCCGGTCCTCCGGATGAATCCGAAGTTAACGAATCCGAAGTTAACATGAGTCAAAACCATTCAAACCCCGACATGCACCACACAAGGCTGAGGAAATCCGCCCGATTATTCTTGACACGGATTTGGGTGGACCCCTTTCGTACCACGTTTTCCTTGTGAACTTCACTGGAATAAGACTCCCCTTGATGGATAGGGTGTGTTCCATGGATGGGGAATGAACGGGGAAAGGACCGAGGAACTCAGATTGATAAAGAAGGGGGTGCAACATGTGCAATTATGTAGCCCTTGTGGTCGTAAACTTCCTAAATTAGGATGTGTTTGTGCACCCCGCCCAAGTGAGAGAAGAGGGCCTGGTTAACCCCCACGGTTTTCTTTCCGTTCGGTTTCCCTTGCAACCCCGCAAAGGCAAATCCCGTGGGTTCGAGGACCTATAAAGGAAATCCGGTGTTTGCCCCAAATTTGGGGCGTCTATATGTCTGTATATATATACATATGTATACAGAGTCGACTAAATATGAAACATCATTCAAACATATTTCCTCCTGCGTATAGACCTCGGCCAGGAAATGGCCATGTGTTTGACGTGTAGCTTTTCTGGGTGGTGTTGTGGCGTATGGGCTGTCCCGATTTATCCTACATTCCCCCAAGTCTGCCAATACTTGTGCTTGGAGCGCGCTTCTTCTCTGAAAGCGTGTTTCGAGAAGGGCAAGCAAGACGGGCAGTGAAACCTTCGGACTTTGTTTGAGCCTTTGTGATCCTCAACGGGTGTGCTCTTGCTTCGACCAATTCATTTCCCACAAATTAGTGGAAGGTGTTAAAGGGAAACCAAAGGAGCACCGCCACGGCTTCCCTACTAACCAATCCACCCTGAGCATCCAACAACTAGCCACAAACCACCAACTACCAGCCAGCGCTGTGTGTTTCTTTCTTTTTGCGTTGAACAAACAGATTTAGAACATTCCTCTCACGCTGGACTTATTTCTGTGATTCCTTCCCTTCATTTGTGGAGTACTCCCCTACAAACATGGGTTGCCCAAAAAACCGGGGGCCCCTAAGGAGGAGATTCCGATCCTAAATTTTTGGGCGAACTTTTTCGGGTTTTCCGAGTGAAGCCGTCAGGGCGTCAAATCTCGCGCAAAAAAATCCGCGCCCCTAGGAGGCAGACAGCTTCGGTGCCGAGACCTCGGGGCGGGGGTGCCCGGCAGCTGAAGGTCAGGTCAAAATTTCAAGGGTGGCCGTTGGATTGGTGTGGACTTGACGTGGACTTGGGGTGGACTTTGCTTTGGATTTTATTTTGGATCTGAACCTCTGCATTTGAACCCCATCTTTGTTTGGGTGGATTGGATTTGGTTTGGATAGAAGTTGTGGGCGAACTTTGGAAACGAAACACCGGGCTCCAAACCGGGCTCCAAACCAAGAGAGGAAGCTGCGAAAGCTTTTGCGTCCAGAGGCCCAAGCAAGGTCGCGGTGCTTGGGGGCAGCTTTCAGGGAAGGCGTCGGAAACTTGGCTTTTGGGTTTCCGCTGTTGGGGGGGAGCCAACAGAGATCCAAGCGTTCGCTTGGGTTGCTTTGTTCCAGAAGTCCATTTGTTTGTTTGGGTTGCAAGGGAAGCGCGTGTTTCTTTTGGTCTCGGGGCAATGGTGCTCACTCTGCAGGACCCTTTTGTTCAGGCATTTGCGCTGCGCTCACACAAGCAACCTTTTAAGCAGCTACTTATCAGTTTGAGGAGGATATGGAGAACCAATTGTCCAATGTTCTTTTGCGGAACAAATAGGCAAATGGGGCTGTCTCCAAAAAGTGGAACCCTTTGAGCCAGCCAAATGATATGGTCCGTAGCTCATAGAAAGATGCGGTGAAGCAGTCCTGGGGGGCTCATTCTCCTCTGAAGAGCCCTTCAAATGCAGGTTCCTTGATGAGCCTACTTTTGCATCGAACGTGTCCTGGATTCCCACGTAAAACGAACTTGTCTGGCAGTGGACGTCGCTACTTACTGATTGGCAGGGCCTTTTTGCTCGCGATGTGGGTGAATAAAATCCATTGCGCACCAGTTGGGATGGATGAAACCCTATGAAAAATGATGACCCGAACTAATAAACCAGTCCTATAAATGAGGGGTTTTCCCCTCCAACAGTGATGGTTCCTAATAAACTAAGATTGATTGATCCGGGGTCAACATTACTGGGATAAAACTACCTGCTGGTGAAACACTGTTCCTTACCGGTTTCAAGCATCACCTTTTGCTTGGGTAGGTTTCCTTTTGGTGGGGTGATGCCCGAAGAAATTCAGAGAATTCTGTGCAAAGCCAGCCGGTTGCCGTTGGAAGCCCTGTCCATCTTTGACCAACGCAGGCGCTGAAGCGTTTTCACCCTTTCAAGCAGCGGCCAAAGCCGTTGGCCGCCTGGCCTATATACAAACCTGAATAGCCAGATTGGTTGCACTGGCCCCTCAACAGAACTTCGAATTAAACACGGTCTCTGTTGTTGGTCAATTGTGTGGGTGCGTGCAGTTCGTGTGTCAAGGATTGTTCAGCAGAGTTGTGTCAGCAAAGAGGCTGAAAACCCTAGTATTTGCGTATTTGACAGGGTTCATGCACTTCACGCAAGTATGTGAAGGACAGCAGCAGAAGCATCACTAGCAAAAGGTGGGCCCTGATAGGGTGGCCATATATACATATATATATATATATGTACACATATGTTTGTCTTATTCATTATTATTGTATTGTTCTTATTTACTTATGCATTTATTTTGGCGCTCAACACGGAGTTGATCAAGGGTACCAGCCTTGGTTTGGTTTCTTTGGTTGCCTTAGGCCTGATCTCGCCAATAGCAAGCTCCACGCCAACCTTCGGAAGTGGGCGCAAACCTTCGAGCGCGAGTGCCGGCGCCTGAGTTGTGCCGAGTCGTTGATGTTCGAGGCCGAGAGTGACAGGTGTTGGAGCCAAATGAGGGTACCCTCTCACCAAGTAACATGAAAGTGCAAAAAGGCCCTTTCTAAAGGAAAATAGTCTTTCTACAGGGATCTATGCACTTCCATGTTAGCTGGTGGGAGGGTAGTCTTGAAACAGAAGAACCTCCAAAATGGTGTCCTTCCCTCTTTGGTTTCCCTTGAGTTTCAACCCAAATGGGTCCCCGCAAAAAAGAGACATCCAAGTGTTGAGTCTAAGACCTTCACCTCTTTTTACCCGTTTCTCTTTCTATGCTCTTTACTTGATATCTCTGGAGTAGTATTTGAGTCACACTGCTTAAGCACATATTCAACATTGTCTATGACATAGGTAAACACCCTTTGAGCTTCAAATGAGCAACTTTTGTCAGGCTTCCTTTTTGGAGCCATGACCATCCCGTTTGCTTTTTATGGAGTTACGCTTGGGTCGGTTTAGTTCCCTCCTCTTGCCCGGGCGAAAATCTTGGCATCCACTTTCACCCATAGAACCTTGTGGCAGAGAGTAGCTCGGGTGTCGGTTGGTGCTGAAAGGATTCAGCCCCCATCTAATGTGTTTCTGAAGTTTTTTCCCCAGACCCCAATTGAAGTTTGTTTTTTGCCCCAGGCCCTATTTGGTGGTGTTTTCCCCATGCCCCATTTGATGTTTTTCTTCCCAGGCCCTATTTTATGTTTTTGCCCAGACCATATTTGGCGTTTTTTTCCCCCGGTCCCATTTAATGTTGCCTCCACCAGACCCCATTTGATGGTTTTTCCCCAAAAACATCAAATGGGGTTTGGTGAAAAAACAACTTCACATGAGGCCTGGGGCAAAAATAGGGCCCGGGGAGAAACGAACAAGCCTGGAAAAAAGAAACACGACACGGACCCGGGGAAAACCGCAATATAGGGTCTGGGGAGAAGCACATCAACTCGGGCTGGGAAAAAACAACTTCAAATGGGGCCTAGGGGAAAAAACAAACAGCACAAAATAGGGTCGGAAAAAGCATCAAATGGGGCCTATTTGGCGTTGTTTTCCCCAGGCTCGATGTTCCCCGACACCCTTCGTTTTAACCAGGCCCCGCTGAATGCTTTTGTTTCCCCAGGTCCCATTTCGATGGTTTCTTTTCCCCAGACCGTCTTTGGCGCTTTTCTCCAGGCCCCAACTTTGACGTTTTGTTTTTTTCTCCCCAGACCATCCTTGGCCTTTTTTCGTCTCAGGCTTGATGCCCCATTCTGATTTAAAAAACAATAAAAACAAATCCCCCGAATCCCGCGGATCTTGGCACCTTGAGCGCCCGCCGCCCGCTGCTCGGGAGGCGGGCCGGAGGACTTCCCGCGCCTGGCGAGGCGCCGCGCGTCCGGAGCGCTTCGCTGGGACCGGGCGCCATGCAACGGCCGTAGCCGTGTGTTTCGGAGGTGGTTGCCCGGGGGTGCTACCCTATGTTGTTTTTTTTGCTGAAGAATATAGGTGTTTTATTTCCCCTGTCAGTTTTTAAAGGCAATCTGTCACTGATAGCTATGGGTTTGTCGATTTTTAGGATGTGGACCCCACACCAAAAGGGGTACCTCTAAAAAAGGCCCGTATGGTTTTGCTTTTCCCCGGTGGTTGTTTTTTGTTTTTTTGCGGTACTGGACATGCTTTTTTTTCCAGGGGATGCCAGCAAATGGAGGATAAGTCGTATCGGACTGGGTCCTGGAAAAGGATGTTCCTTTGAAAAAGGGATCCTCTGTTTCCATGGGCTATAGTGGTAAGGTTACCAGTAAGGTCATAGCCTCATAGCACTAATAACTTCAGGTGAATCTGCACAGTTAGAGGACCCCCCCACTAATATCAAGTCCCTCAAGGGCAACCACCCTGATCAGCATGGTCCTGCGCATGAATCCGAAGTTAACATGAGTCAACACCATTCAAAGCCCGACATGCACCGTAAATGGTAGCGGAGATCAATCCCTTTGTTCTTTACATGGATTTGGGGGGAATTGTTTGGGTGCTAGGTGTTGATTTTGACTTCAGTGGATTAAGGCTTCCCTTGATTAATAGGGGGTGTTTGGATGTGCGAAAGGGGGGAAGGGCCTAACTCAGATTGAGCGGATGGGACTTGCGAACTTAGAGAGACTGGTACAAGGCTCTCAACTTAGCATTTGAGCGCCATGCCGACTACGTGCAGCTACCCTACCTGGCCGAAAGTATGAAAGAGGCGGACGATCAGGACGCGTTGGCCCGCGTGCGGCGGCTGGCTTTGCAGACCTTTCAGGAGAATCTGGCTGCCTGACTGGCCTGTCAAACTTGTCAGACTGATATGATTTGATGAATCGGTGGGTGTCCCATAAAAAAGGATCATTCAATCAGAATGTGGTTGTTGTTCTGGCTCCTGCATGTCTCCAGTTCATCTAGAGATGCCAGTTTCACAAACAGCAGCTAGGCCGGATCCTTCACTTGTTTTTTGTAAAGATCCACCAGGTTGATTGTTCAGGGGTCGGTGTTTTGGGCGATATCTTGTTGCTTCTGAGGATACCGCAAACGCCGACAGGATGGTGGACGTTGCGTTGCCGCTTCAACGGGAAGCTTCCAAAGGCAAAGTTCCCTATTTCAAGGGAAGGCTCCCTGGCATCGCACCGTGGATGCTTATCGGACCCCTCAAATCTCAACCACGTGTAGTTTTGCTCCCTTCGAATGGTTGTTTACTCAACCAAAAGTACTCGATCGGAGCCCCCTCAAGCGGTTTCTTTGACTCGGCGTGGTCACTTATTGGTGACTCGCTCTAGCCGTCTCTGCAACAACTCTTTGCCTATATGGTGTGAACCCGCCGGATCTTTGGGTAGAAGCTTAGCAGCAGTCCCAACCAGAACATAGAAGCGGGCCATAGCTCGTTTGATCTACCATTGTCGCTAGATCTCGTTCGCCTAAGACTTTCGTGCTAGGACAATCCAAGCCCCCTGGACTTTGATCGAGGCGAACTCCACAGCATTTTTGGTGGTGTGTTTCCTAAAAAAATAAGAATAAAAATATGGGACACTTGTGAAACTGGTTAGACCCCCCCCTAATGATGTCTCCTGGGCACCAGCGCCTCCTTGTACCATGCCAGTAGGGAACCGATGGGCGTGTCTGTTGGCAGAGGTCCCCCCGACGTTTCTGGCCTTCCTCTTGGTTTCCCTTTCAAAGCCACAAAAAGACGCTACCCTCAAAAAAGACGGGCCGGCCATGTTTTGCTTGGTGCTTTACATGATGCCCTTGGCTATGGCTAAGCGCTGGTGGCAAGTCGGCCGCGAGGCTCCTGATCCGAAAGCAAGTCCGGCCCGCGAACGCGCCGCCCTTAGAGAGAGAGAGAGAGAGAGAGACAACAGAAATTCTGAGCCAGTGCCATGAGGTTTCCGAAGGTCTATGTTAGCCCAGCAATATGTTGGGTATGAATTTAGTTAAAACCTTTTCGCCGACATCATTTGGGCGTTTCATGTGGAAAATAATGTGTTTTCAGGTGGTTCCCCATCAAATTTCACAGCCGTATGGCGCCCGCATGGTAATTTACAGGGCTTTCCTTGCAACTTGCGATGCCGCGGACACATATCCAGCGGCGAAGGTGCAACAACTTGTCAGGTACCAGAAGGGACGAAGGCGCCTTGCCTGTGAATCTCCACATGGTTCGGTTGCTGCAGGTGCTCGAGGAAAGGATGCTGGAGGATGAGCTGATCCTCTGCGAGAGCTCGACATCATGCGAATAGAGAAGAAGCTCATCGCGGCAAGGAAGATCAAGGGCATGGAAGGGCAGTGGGACCTCTGTCAGAAGATCAGCGATAGTGGAGGATGACAAGGACGCCAGGAACGCACCTCTTTGGTAGTTGGTAGGGGTTCATAGGCTTTTTGATCCAACTGGTGAGATTGGTTTTGCCCGTCCACAGCCTGCTTTTGGGTGAAGGCCCACATAAGACAATGACAAAATGATTGGTATCATGCTGTTGGTCGGGAAGGACAGGGTAGGACAAGCCAAATTTCACACAAACCCAAGCAAGCAAGCAACATCGTCCAGCACATTCACTGTCATCCTTTCTAGTACAGGCACCGAATGGGACCGAGAAAACACGTTTCCTTTCTCTCTGTACCATCCAAACATGGGTCCTCTCTTGTGAGAAACTCCCATATGCGAGGTGATTCAAGTTCCAAGCCAAGCCAAAAGAAGGGGCGGGTGGCAAGAACGATATGGGTAACTGAAACAAAACAAACCATGCTGTTAGTCCATTGTGAATGGGACAGGGGGGGTGGCGCCTGGATGGGGACCTCGCATCCTTTTTGGGCAAGCATGCAATTTGTGCCTGGCTCATGTAAACCTACTTTTGCGTCTGGTCTCAACAAAAAAAGGGGTTCAAAGTATCTCGCAGGGATGCTTCACTCAAGAGAGTTGCCAGACCGGGCTTGGAAAATGGGGGAGGGGTTCTCTTCAGAGAATGGAGGGAATCGGAGATCAACCCTTGGAACAATCGTTTCAACAACTTGGTTCTTGCCTGAGGGCCCATCGAACGATGTAAAGAAAACCCATCCCCAAAAAACCCGGGGTTATCCCCCAATTTCATCCAAAGGGCGGATTTCCACCTTGATTTGCACTCCCCCCAAAAAGTGTTCGAGGGGGTTCTTAGAACCAATCCCTGGCATATGTGAACTATAGTATATCACTTAACATCAAGCCAGGACACATTTCAGTGATTTGATTCCCCCTCCCACCAACATGGTTGTTGTTGGGACACATTTTACATTTTTGCTTATTGTGGTTTAGTGGTTGAAATCTCCACTTAATTGCTAACATTTTGATTTGTTGCTCCCCTTCCAACATCAACCAAGGATTAACAGCCGGAACCTGACAGGGACATCCCTTTAGAAGTTGAATATAATCTTCCAGGACCGGACCCCTGGCAGGTTCCGGCTGTGAATTGGCGGCTCCCAGCCATCCGGTGCCTTAGCCTTTTTAGGCTTTTAGTATTTCCATGTTTTCATGTTTGCCATGGTAGTAGTTTCCATGTTTTTTAAAACCCTTTTTAGGCTTTTAGCTGGTTTAGTGCTAGTTTCCATGTTTTCCACTAGAAGTTAGTCACTTTTAGCGGGGGATCTGAAGGCGGCCCAGAACAATCGGCTTGCAAACGTTGTTTCGCGTCACTCGCCTCGAGGCGCGAAACACCGAGCTGGAAATCGGCCGCACGCAGACGGCGGAGGAAGAGTCCACTGGAACCAACTCCCTAGGCGTCGCTCGCGATGGGTCCGTTTCGGAGTCCCCAAGAAATCCCCCGAGGTCCGTAAAACGGGTTTTACTTTTTTGGGGTTGCTCCGTATGTTAGTGGCAAACAAGTGTGGGACTTTTTGGGCCAATGCAGTCGAGCGGAAGAGAGAGGTACTTTCTGGTGGTTTGGATGGGTGGGATTTGAAGTCGCCACCCGACCAAACAGCCAATTAGGGGTAAGGTGATTCAGTGTTCCCTTGGTGTTGATGGAAAGGGCAAACGAAAAGGAAACCCAGTTTGTTGCCCCCACTAAATGGTCAACCCCAAGCAGGTTGCGTTTTTCTTCCGCCGGGCAACCGGGGGTCCCAGTGTTTCCCTGGTTGGGGTGTGGATCTGTGAAATCTTCCTTTCGTTCAATCACCGTTCTTTTCAACTGCAAGCTTTTTGCCATTTCCCGTTCAGTTTTCGCTAGACTGGAGAGGACAGAATGGGGACGGTTTACCAAGGCCCCAGATATCGAGGGAAGCCACGTCCTTTGAATAGAGGACTCCTTTCTTTTCGGCTGGTTTACACCTCTGGGATCATTTGAATATTGAATGCAAGAAGTTGGAAGGTGTCCTTGGTTTCACCTTGGTTGAAGCGGGTACACCTAGTTTAGGCTGGTGCTTTTGGGTAGAGAGGGCGTTCTTGGTTTCAGTTCGGTTGAAGTGGAGTCCATCGAAATCCGTGTCAGGGGTATTCATGGGATTGGAGTTTGGCCTCTCCCCGAAATACATGAGCAAAAGGGAAATCGCTTTGGACAAGTGTTCTTGTTTCAAGCGTTCGCTCTCTCCTGTTCCATTTGTGACTCGGCTTGTTTGATTTGATCATTCTGAACAACAGGCCAAGCTTGCTTGATTGGCCGGCAGCCACTAGCGACCAATGGACTACTACACACATCATATTTATGCTATGGATACTCGAACTGCCATTTGGTGGCGCTACTAAACCAAAAGGCGCTGTCTTTGGTTGCTTTGCAAAGGGGGACTTCTGACAAAAGAACCGTGACCCTACTACCCTTCCTTTTGCTTTCCCCTTCGACTGCATCTCCTTCATATTCAGCTTCTCCTTTTGCAACTGACCCAGTGGCCTACTGTAGCGCTTGCTTGTCGCCAGACTCGCCGTCTCGATAGCAGTCATGATGCATGCCTTGCTGGACATCTCTTCCAAGGATTTGACGGCCACCACGTATGCCAAGCAAAAATCCGTCATTAGTGGCAAAGGCAGCAACGATTGTATGAGAATGCCGTTCCTGCTGTGATGGGTTTGCATTCACGAGACATCGTGATGAACAGGTAGTTATCTTCTTGAGCAAGAGCCAAGGGAGGCTCACTTGAGATCTTCGGCCCAGACACGATCGCAGACTCACTCGCCCTTGTCTACGGCAATTCAGCGTCACTGCCTGACGACGTCTCATTCTCTTCAGAGGCATCATTTTCACATGCCACGCTCAAGCTAGACTTGATGCAAATTGATTTGAGCAGACGCCAGTGGCTAAATCTACCCTCTTCCCAGAACATGCCCTTCATCCAGGTATGCTTCCAGACTAGACTTGTACATGTGTAGCTGCCAGGCCGGATGACAGTGCTCAGGCTTTGACTCGCCAGTGAGTTTCCTTTTGTGATGTTGTTGGGTGAGAACTGAGCTCGGCTGTTTCCGCCAACATGCATGCGGACATGTGTGTGTGTGTGTCTTTTTGCGTTTACCCTTGCTTGAGTTCCCTGACTTTTGGCCAAATGGCCGCGCACCATTTTTGAGACATATCCCATATGTATTTTAGGTATTGCCCCTTTTAAGGACATACCATTGGCGTTTAAGCCAAACCCCCCACATCTTCGTTTAGGGTGGGCACCCCCCACAAAGTGGATATCTCCCCCTGCCTTTTTTTTTGAAAACAGGCCAAGCAGGTGTAGACCAACTCCGCAGTTGAAGAGGAGTCTTCCTAGCCGCCCCTTTTTGGGGCTCATGGTTGTTGGGAAGCATTTCCCTTTTTTGCCTGATGTGGTTTAGTGGTGGAATTCCCCGACTTAACTGCTCAAACTCAATTTTTTGCTCCCCTTCCAGCCGTCACCCAAGCTGCGGGTGCCTTCCTCCTCCAGCCCTGCCCGCCCTGAGCGCTGCGTTCGAGGCTCCCGGCGCCTCACGGAGCCGGCGCTCGCGGAGGTGCGCTTCGACGCGGCCCGGGTCATCGGCAGCCCGGGGCCCCCGGACGGTCCCGACGCCCCGAAGGTCGGCGCTCCGCGGCGCCCGTACCGAACAAGGGAGGAGGAGAGACTTGGGTTCACTGAAAATGGGAAGTTACAATACACCTGAAGCCTTGTGTCTCCGAAGCCATCCTTTTGGATGGGTTCGGGACCTGAAATTTGGGTCCCAGCTCTTGCTTCTGCTCTTTCTTTTTGTTGTGGGGATCACTGGGTTTGAAGGGTAACGGGATTTGTTTTTGACATGTTACAGAAGGTTCAGCGAATGACCAGAATCCACAGCCCTCAAGCAAAGACTGGCCAGGGGAAGTCAATGTGGCTGGCCAGTGTCAGTGAGGACCCCCCCCAAGATTCGTTGGTGGACACAGCCCCCCCAAAAATCCCCAGAACTCCTCATACATGCCCATATACTTGCGGTTGTCCAAGGCGTCCAACCACTGGCCAAAATCGTTTCCATGTGGAAAACCGCTTAAAGTCGGAAGTCACTTCCGTGCTTCCCATCGCAAGCAACGAACTCACGCAAGGAAAACAAGTTGCTTGGGATCCCTAACCTGGTCATTGTTTTGGGTTCGCTCATGTTGTCCCAGACCCCAACATGCGATCGGGATTCGACCTTATCGCCAGTGGTTCCTGGGTTTCAAGTTGAGTCGTTTTTGTTGAGGGGATTATCGATTTGTGAGCTTCAGGGCAGCCAACAGAGAAGCAATGGCTGAGGCCAGCAGATGCAGGCGGCTCTTTGGCGCAGCTGGAGCAAGGTGTGGAGCCAATGTTTGCGGTCGGCTGACTCCCAAACTTCAGCAGTTTCTGCCGGCTGGCTTATCGGTCCGTTTTGTTTTTTTCAATCCAGCTCGCCATTCTTGCGAGTGCTTCACTCGACCCCTTGTTTGAGGTTTCGGAGTGATGGTAACATAGCTGTGTCTCATAACCTGTGGCTCCATTTTGGGGTGGATGAACATCCATTTGCCACCCATTTTGACGTTCACCAGGGGTACAGGGTTATCTGCGGAGCATTTTCAGGTTGGTTTAAAAGGCACGCCAACCAACCCCCCTTGACCCGTTCTTGGTCAGAACCCATAGGTCAAAACTGGGATCGTGTTTTTGACTCAGACCCACCCCTAGAGGCTTTCCTGAATGAATCATTATATGTCTGGGATCAACCAGGTGCCGGTGGGCTGATTCTGCACGAATCTGGGTGCGTGTCTGTTTTTGAGGGTACCTTCCGGTTTTTTTTTCCCCCCGTGCACAGGCTTTGAGCAGGGCAGTCCTGTTTGCCATTGTTTTTTCGAGCTAAGAGCTCACCCTCGAGCCATAAACACTTGATTTTTCTGACTTCGGTGTTCGAATCAGTGGACAATCTGCACTGGGGAATATTTTTGATGTTGCTGATGCTTCGAAGTGAGTTGCAATACAACGTATATGGGTTTGTTTGCAAAAGGAGTGAAACAGATGGCTGGCTCCCCTTCGGTTGTTTTAATCGATCCACAAATGGGTAAACTATCGTTGGACGCTTAGTGGGCAAGAAACCAGAGGCTCCGGAGGGATACTTCCCCACAACTGGAGATGAGCTCTAGTTTTCTCTTGTCAAGAGAGTAAACACGTGGGTCTGGCTCAAAATAGGGAGACCGGGGCCCCAACACAAATTCTGGTTTGCCTCTTGGTTTCCCTTCAAACAACCTGAATCAGGTGCCCTCTCTGAAGAAGAAAAAATAAATCGCGCCCAAGCCCTTTTGACCATCTCGACAGGACCTCAAGGGCAAGGAGCGGCGTTTTGCGGAGCTTGGGAGCGATTGGGAACTTGGGAACTGACGAAGGAACACCCCGAAGGAAAATTTGGGGAATGATTTTGGGGAATGAACACGGGCATGAATTGGGGGGGTACCCCAAAGAAACCATAGGTTGGATGGTTCAGTTCCGAATTGTTCCGACTCAGTTCCGGAATCGGTTTTGACAGCCCGTTGACTCAACTGGGAACATTGCGGTGCCGGGAACTGGTTGATACTTCTAGCAGGTTGACCACCGTGGGTCGACATCATTGGGGAAGAACCTTTTCAGATGGAAACATCAGGGTTCCCTAAAGAACGCGCCACGACTTTCCGAGTAGCCACATGCTTTTCTGTGGGTCCAGGGATAAATAAAGTTGTCTTGCGGCAAAATGCGGTCACCCTTCATCTTCATGGGGTTATACCCAAGGGGAGTCTGTGATATCAGGTCCTTCAGTTGCAAGTTGGGACATGTCTCCTTCGCTTCGGGCCTCAAGTGCTTGATCTGTGTTGGACTTGGGGCTCGCGGCGGATCCCCCGACTGAACCCGAAGGACCCAGGAGCTCAGTTGCGGCCGCCTTTTGTTCACCCTTCAACCAGCCGAACAGGGGGGCACGTTGTTGTTTCATGGGAACCTGGGCAATTGCGTCAAGGGTCCCGAAATCATTCCGCTCAGGAGAGATGCTAGCCCCCCCCCACTCCGGCAAGGTGCCCAGAATTTCCACACCCACATGCACCGGTTCTGGGAACCTCTCCTCCCCAAGCGTTCAGGAGCTGGTGGATGGGTCCAAGGCCGACGGAAGGGTGGAAGGGTCCTGGCTCACTTTCAGCGTATTGGAATGAACCCATTGGTCCCAGTCTTTCTGTCCGGAATACTCACAGACGAAAGGACAGCAGAATTTGATTCAAAAAGAATTGAAGAACACACGCATATCTGGACGAATGGACAAGGCCAAAATGAGAACCAAAAGAGATTCGATTGAATGGTTGACCTTTTCGACGACTTCATCATCGGCGTGAAGACAGGTACATCACTCATGTGAAACCTGGCCTCGGCGAGTGATCACTCATGCCACTCATGTAACTGTCTACATTTGAGGTAAATCGATGTCTCGTGTAGGCATATCATCCATAAGTGCCAGTGCCGCATTTCCCCAGCGAATCGCCGGGCAACCCGGGCGCGCATGGCCTTCGAACGCGCCAGGCGAGCATGCGGGAGATCCTTGCGAGCCCGGGACCTCAGTGGTTCAAAGCCGAAGCGCGGGTTCTTTTTTTTTTTTTCCGGGGATCGGTACCCGCAAAAGTGATGTGTTTGAAAGCGACGCCAAAGGACAGCGAGTCATGTGGTTTTTGCTTTTTGCTTTGCATGTGTTTTTTCCTTGGGGGGCAGCCATCGATTTTGAGACACACCCATCTTTAACCGTTTGGTTTCTGTGTTTTGGCAGCCAGTTTTAATAAGGGTCTCAAAAGTTGATTACCTTTGATTTCTAGGCCTTTCGGGCAAGTGAGACAGACTATCCAGCAGGAGAAAATTCCGTTCCTGGCCATTTTCCCATCTACCAAGGCGCATTCCGAGCAAGAGCCAGACAAGCATCCTCTGAATTGGTTGGCGGACAGCCTCTCCAGATAAATGTGTCCGCCACTGGATCCCTGATGAAACATCAGACCCCCCCCCATAGTGTGCTCTTTTGCTTCCTTGGTTTCAGATCTCTCTCTCTCTCTCCCTCTCCCTCTTTCCCTCTTGCAACCATTGTTTGCGTTTGAAGGTTTCACATTGGTTTACTAAATCTGGACCGGAAGCAACCAAGTCTATACTTTCACCTCTTTTTCTCGAGTCCGCACATATTCCCCTCCCAGCCTTTGCACAGCCGGAACCCTTCGACGTTCGGGGGATCGGCCCTGGTTCCGGCTGTGACACCGGGGGCTCGGCACGGCCCCACAGCCCAGGCGCCAACGCGATGTTGGAGCGAGACATGGACTATGAGGCCGAGCGGAGCAGAGGTCAAGTGGTAGAATTCGTCCATGGGGGGGGGGGTTGGCCAAGTCATTCGGTTGATTGATTTGGGTTGGGCAAGTCATTTGGTTGATTGATCTTTAGGTCGGCCAAGTGATTTGGTTGATTGATTTGGGTTGGGCAAGTCATTTGGTTGATTGATTTTTAGGTCGGCCAAGTGATTTGGTTGATTGATTTGGGTTGGGCAAGTCATTTGGTTGATTGATTTTTAGGTCGGCCAAGTGATTTCGGTTGATTGATTTGGGTTGGGCAAGTGATTTGGTTGATTGATTTTTAGGTCGGCCAAGTGATTTGGTTGATTGATTTGGGTTGGGCAAGTCATTTGGTTGATTGATTTTTAGGTCGGCCAAGTGATTTGGTTGGTTGATTTGGGTTGGGCAAGTCATTTGGTTGATTGATTTTTAGGTCGGCCAAGTGATTTGGTTGATTGATTTGGGTTGGGCAAGTCATTTGGTTGATTGATTTTTAGGTCGGTCGGCCAAATCATTTGGTTAATTGATTTGGGTTGGGCAAGTCATTTGGTGATTGATTTGGGTTGGGCAAGTGATTTGGTTGATTGATTTGGGTTGGGCAAGTGATTTGGTTGATTGATTTTTAGGTCGGCCAAGTCATTCGGTTGATTGATTTGGATTGGGCAAGTCATTTGGTTGATTGATTTTTAGGTCGGCCAAGTGATTTGGTTGATTGATTTGGGCTGGGTAAGTCATTTGGTTGATTGTTTCTTAGGTCGGCCAAGTGATTTGGTTGATTGATTTGGGTTGGGCAAGTCATTTGGTTGATTGATTTTTAGGTCGGCCAAGTGATTTGGTTGATTGATTTGGGTTGGGCAAGTCATTTGGTTGATTGATTTGGGTTGGGCAAGTGATTTGGTTGATTGATTTGGGTTGGGCAAGTCATTTGGTTGATTGATTTGGGTTGGGCAAGTGATTTGGTTGATTGATTTGGGTTGGCCAAGTCATTTGGTTAATTGATTTGGGTTGGGCAAGTCATTTGGTTGCCAAGTCATTTGGTTAATTGATTTGGGTTGGGCAAGTCATTTGGTTGATTGATTTGGGTTGGGCAAGTGATTTGGTTGATTGATTTGGGTTGGCCAAGTCATTTGGTTAATTGATTTGGGTTGGGCAAGTCATTTGGTTGATTGATTTGGGTTGGGCAAGTCATTTGGTTGATTGATTTGGGTTGGGCAAGTCATTTGGTTGATTGATTTGGGTTGGGCAAGTCATTTGGTTAATTGATTTGGGTTGGGCAAGTGATTTGGTTGATTGATTGGGTTGGGCAAGTCATTTGGTTGAATTGATTTGGGTTGGGCAAGTCATTTGGTTGATTGATTTGGGTTGGGCAAGTCATTTGGTTGATTGATTTGGGTTGGGCAAGTCATTTGGTTGATTGATTTGGGTTGGGCAAGTCATTTGGTTGATTGATTTGGGTTGGGCAAGTCATTTGGTTGATTGATTTGGGTTGGCCAAGTCATTTGGTTGATTGATTTGGGTTGGCCAAGTCATTTGGTTGATTGATTTGGGTTGGCCAAGTCATTTGGTTGATTGATTTGGGTTGGGCAAGTCATTTGGTTGATTGATTTGGGTTGGGCAAGTCATTTGGTTGATTGATTTGGGTTGGGCAAGTCATTTGGTTGATTGATTTGGGTTGGGCAAGTCATTTGGTTGATTGATTTGGGTTGGGCAAGTCATTTGGTTGATTGATTTGGGTTGGGCAAGTCATTTGGTTGATTGATTTGGGTTGGGCAAGTCATTTGGTTGATTGATTTGGGTTGGGCAAGTCATTTGGTTGATTGATTTGGGTTGGGCAAGTCATTTGGTTGATTGATTTGGGTTGGGCAAGTCATTTGGTTGATTGATTTGGGTTGGGCAAGTCATTTGGTTGATTGATTTGGGTTGGGCAAGTCATTTGGTTAATTGATTTGGGTTGGGCAAGTCATTTGGTTAATTGATTTGGGTTGGGCAAGTCATTTGGTTAATTGATTTGGGTTGGGCAAGTCATTTGGTTGATTG